TCTTCCCATCTTTCTTCTCCCTCTCTTCCCACAGTTTGGTTTTGTTTTCTCTGGCATGGGAAATGGGCCGCTGCGAGGAGGATGGGGATGGGATCTGAGCAGAAAATAGTTCCTTCACTGAACAACGTGTGAAATCCAAAACAGCGGCGTGTTAGTTTTCGTTGGCGGTGGCAGGGGGGTGGCATGTGGGCGAGTGCTATCTCGGGGGCGGGCAGCACAAAGGGCAGGAAAAAAATAATATATATGAGAAAGGTAAGCAAAACATTCCCCATTTCACTTCATGTGTCCAAGCTGGGCTGTTAATGAGGCTTTTAATAGAAAAGTGGGCCAAGCTCCTTTTGAAATTGTGCAGACTTCCCTTCTCCGATCTGCCCATTTTCCAGAGCTGGGAGGCAGAGGGGATCAGCATGCCTCGAGGGACCCTGCACCCGGCGTGCACACCACGCCTGGGTCTTTGCAAGGTGGGCTATTGGGACCCGTGGTCCCGTGCACAAAATCAGCCTTGCGGTGGGGAAAAGCGAGGTGGGAAGAGGCTTCAGACTGGAGCTGTGGGTGAGGGAAAATCAAAGATAGAGCCCCTGGGGTCTGAGCCAGCTTGCTGGTCTTTCCTTGCACCCACCTCAAGCTCCAGGTGGACCCCTGCTTTGTCCACGGTTTTGGGAATTGGGCTCCACAAGGTTGCAGAGGCTGTGATGGCAAGGAGCAGGCCTGGGGAAGTGGCGTGGGCAGGGGTGGCAAGAGCTGTGTGGACACTTGTGTGGTTGAAGCTGAGCCCTCAGCAGCCACGACTACCAGGGGGTGGACGTGACATTTCTTGCTGTCTCTGCAAAGCGGTTTTGCATTAACGAGACGGCCGTGACAAGTCCTCTGTTGATGCAATATGTGGTTTTGGCTTTCCAGAACCCCATCCCAGCTCCCGATGCTGAAATGCATGCCCTCGCTCCTGCTCCGAAGGCTGTCTTTGGAAAGAGATGCTGGCTCCCGCCTGCACAGCGTCTTGCTCCTCGTTCTGGCTGCAGCAGGGAGCCCCCCCATCTGCCTGTTCCCTAGCCCGTTCTGCCCAGTGGGCTGCTCTGTGAGCGGTTTCAGGCTCATGAGGCTTTGCTCAAGGCAAGTCAGCACTGCAGAAACCAAGATGCTGTTGTTGGGATGATGTCTCAGGAAAGGCAGGAAGGAAACAGCTCTCAGGCACAAGCAAAACGTTTATGCCGCAAGGATCAGGCCAGCAACTGCTCAAATTCAGTACCCTTGCCTAAAATCTGCAGCTGTTTCAGGAGCTGCCTCTACCCGGGAGAAGCTCTTTTCTCTGCTCTTCCTTAGCGGCTGGGCTAAGCTGCGCTACAGGGAAACCTGCTCCCTGCTCAGCTCCTGCTCGTTCAGGGCTTCCTGCCCTAACGCAGAAAGGTGCCTGCTAGCAGCAGGCAGTCCCGCAGGCGCGTGAAGAGGGGGCAGGAATCAGACTCTGCCTCGTATCCCTTTTGAACTTGCTGCCTTTGAGCCGCTCCGCGTCGCCCTGTCCTGGCTGCTCTGGGATGGTGTGCTGAGATTTCTAGCTGGTCTGCACCTCTCCTTGGCTGCCGGGGTGAAAAGTGAGGGCCCGGAGGCTCCCGAGCAGCAGTAATGGCTTGCCTCTACGAGCAGGGCTGGCAGACAGGCCTTGGGGGTGGAAGGAGCGGTGAAAGGGTCTGAGCCTGGTGTGCAAGGGCAGGGCTGCCAGGGGGCATTCACCAGGTGCCTGCTGTCTTGAGTTGAGAGGCAGGTGAAGGACTGAGACAGCCACGGGGTGCGTAATGTCTCGTGGCCACGGATGCTCAACAGGCAGTTTGCGAAGCTGAGTTTGGCCAGGGGCTGTAACTGTGCCCAGGGAGTGTTGGGAAGGTTGGTTTAAGGCCTGGATCAAACTTCATCTGTGCCGAAGCGTAGGTGTTGAACTGCATGAAAGAGAAGAGAGCTTCTTTCTCATTTCTTTTCTTTTTCGAGTTATTTATTTTTTTGAATAGGTCAGGGTAACCGTAGAAGCAAGACTACAATAAGTAGTGGCACTACGCTGGCCACAGTTACAGCAGAAGAAAAAGAAACAGTGGGAGGTCTGTGTCCCTGCGCTGCAGAGCCCAGCTGGGTCAGCAGTGGTTCAGGAGCCAGCCGTGACCCTGAGCAGCACCGTGCAGCCGCAGATCACCAGTGGGGTGGGGGAGAGGGGGGATCACAAGGTGCCGCTGCCTTCTGGCCCGACCTAGGCTGGTTAGGGTCAGGCTGGGCTGGGATGCCAAGGAGGGGGATGCAAAGCTGGCAGGTCCACCGTGGCATCTACAGGAGCAGTCGTGGCAGCTCGGTGCCCACCATTGGATGGGGTTTGGGTCGTGCTCCCCGGCGGGAGCACCCTGGGGCTGACAGTATGCTCTGGCAAACTGGACCTGAAATGTCACCCAATAAAACAGAAGGCGGCTGGACTCAAGGCGTTGGGCTTGTGGGATCAGAGCACATCTGGAGAAACCGGGTGGGGTGGGGAGGGAAACACTGCTTCCGGCCTGTTGGGTTCCTGCATGAGGCTTGGCGAGCTTAGCACGGCACGCTGCTTTCCCCTTGCTAAGGCAGAGCTCCTGTGCGCTGATCCCCTGTGAAGATGCACCCTTTTCCCCTTTCCCTAGTTTTTCCCTTCCCTGTTCCTTACCCTCATCTTCCCACCCCTCCACCCCCCAAAAATGGCAGTGAAAGCATGGAGGGAGGGCGCGTTTCCGCATGGTTTGACACTGTTCCCCCTTCCATCTGTCTTTTCCTACCCAGAATTTCCCTACGCCCCGTCTCCAATCGATGATCGCAAATCCATGGTGCAGCCGAACATCCCCACACCCATCCCCACACCGGTGATTGGGGGCATAGTGGGAGGAGTCTCGCTGGTCCTGGTGGTGGCCGTGGTGCTCTTTGTGGTACTCCTGCGCCGGCGTCACACCTTCCAGGGTGACTACAGCGTGTACGGCAATGGCTACAGCAAGGCTGGCATCCCGCAGCATCACCCCCCCATGGCCCAAAACCTCCAGTACCCCGACGACTCGGACGACGAGAAGAAGCCGGGCCCGCTGGGCGGCAGCACCTACGAAGATGAGGACGAGGATGCAGGAGGTGAGCGCAAGCTGGGTGTCCCCAACAAATACGAGGAGGATGCTAAGCGGCCTTACTTCACAGTAGATGAAGGGGAGGCGCATCCCGAACCTTATGACGAAAGGACACTCGGCTTCCAGTACGACCCCGAGCAGCTCGACATAGCGGAGAACATGGTCTCACAGAACGATGGATCTTTTATTTCCAAAAAGGAGTGGTATGTGTAGCTCGGCACCCCATTGCTACACACACACACACACAC